TTCAGATCCAAAGTAATGAAGACATCGAAAAAGTGATAGCAGAACTAGATTCGGCACTAAAAATCAGATGGAGATGCCAAGTTTCATTCATATGCTCCCATTCATTACTGACTTATGAACTTATGAGTTTTTCCTCAAAATACATCAAAACATGTCCCACATTTAGGCGATTTTTTCCTATATGAAGGTCCTCCAACATTTTGCAAAGAAAAATCCCAATAACTTTTTTATTTATCAAAGGATTTTTAATTTTTAAAAACCATAGTTCTTAGAATTTACTCTATTTTCATTTAAGTCCATTTTTAAGCAATTTGGATGAAAATTTAATTTTTCATTGTCATTGCTATAGAAAAGCTACAACGTATAAGTATAGTATAGAGGCAGAGGAGGTCTTTTTAACTCTTCTGGTGAAAAAATCATGAAGATCCACCAGTAACTTCCGGAGATATCAACAAAAGATCGCTTATGGTATATCGCACCCCAGGATCTACTCTAGATCTAGATTTCTAGATCTAGATCTAGATCTCTAGACTCTAGATTTTAAATTTTATGTAACATTTTGACATTGTGTAAGATTGTTGGAGAAATGCTTTTTTTCCACTTAACTTCGTCGTCTATTCTCACTCAGGATTCAATATTACACACAAACCTATTGTAACTGATCTGTTGGTGATCAATCACAAGTTTTGCACTGTGTTTTTCATAGATCTAGAGTCTAGATCTAAATCTACCTTCAGTCAGAATTTGTGTTGGCTGGAGAATCCTTTTATTTTATCTCTCAGTTGAGCAAGCAAGATCTCTGAATCTCTGGCCTAGAGAAAGAGATGAGAGTTGTGTTCTCTTGAATAGATCTAGAATCTAGTACAAATTATGAACTACATTAAATATTTACGAAAAACGATACGGATGGACGTAATTTATATCACAAAGAAGCGAAACTAATTTAATTTTATCAAAGCTACAAAAGTACAATATCATATTTTATTCTAACTTCATTTTGCAAGCATATTTATCATCTCCCTGAGTCTTTTTATTATTTCAAATTAGTTAATTTACACCTTCTATGTTTGTAGTCCATGACTTTATTGTTTTGATCTGTCACACCACAGCGAGCGAACCGTAGCCTGCATCGTACGATAGGCCAGCCGAGGCAAGGCAAGTAGCCTAGCCTAGCGAAGAGAGCTACGGATCCAGGCCCCGTAATCGGCTGTTGTTCACCCCAGGGCTCAAAGTTCTCAAGGTGATGTACAACACGAAACGTCTTGGTTTGGAGAGTCTCTTCCTCTTTTTGAAAGGAATTCGGATCCATTATTTTTATCTTGTAGATCTATACATCGTTTACATTGATAGGCCTATGATTATAATGATATTAAAGTTCATTTCTTCATCGTCGGTGAAATCTAGAGTCTACTCTACTCTAGTCTGGAGAGAGGAGGGGTCTTGTTGTCAATACTTGTCAATAGAGAGTTTTATCTGTATATTAGATTAGTATTTTATGGGGGTATAGTATAGTGAATTTAAAGTCGTAAGTCCACTTACACTGCTATAGTATAACTACAGTAGATCTAATAGTTGACGTTGCCCTCTCTTAGTTAGAGTTAGAATTTATTGACAAGAGACCCCATTGAATAACTTGTAGAGATCTGGGTGGGAGGCACTCAGTTCCCCGACCCAGCCTTGAATTAAAAGTAGAAAGCTACTGTAAAAAATTTATATAAGGCCTGTTATAATGTGTAAGAACTGCAGGATAATATAATAAGAAGGCCGGCTCTATATATTTCTCGGGCCGAACGTTCGGGAAAATAAACTTGAACTTTATTTTTCCAAACGGTTTCCGTTCTCTAGATTTGTTGATAAAAAGGGAATGGAGTGGCCCGTGTGTGTGTGTGTGAGTGTGCATGTATGTGTGTGTGTGAGTGTATGTGTATGGTGTGAACGAGGGGCGTGGAGGGATTTGTTTTTTTACATGAAAGATAGTTTTTGCTGGGTGACTAAATAAATGAAAAATAGGTTACTACCAAGGTCGAGCAGTCTTGTTTTCTCTCGCAGTACCTCTTGAAGGTATTTTCAAATGAAGTATAGTCCGTGAACGTTGCCCCAACCACAACTGAAGTATCTGAATATTCCGACATTTAAAAATCTGTAGCTCTAGAAATTGAATTCCATACAAAAAATGCTTCCTCCCAGTCCTCGCCGAATGGCAGAATGAAAGGATGGCGCCTAAATCTCGCAAATAACCAAAAAATCTCGAGATCTGAAACCGTTCTGAGAAATAGAGTTCAGCTTTATTTCACAAGCGTTCAGAGAAATAGTCACTTTGTAATAAAAATGGCTAGATTAATGTTGTCTTGTCACTTGTGTTTTCACTCCCCTTTGTCGATTAGAGTACGCAAAGACTCTTAAAGACTCCTAACAATCCTTACCTGTGGGAGTGCTACCCCCTTTGCCTTTTCTGTACTGAACATATGTGCGTGTTTACCAATCTAGCCCGAGTTGTCCCCACCTCCCATCTTTTAACCAGCACGTCTGCTCAGGTAAAGGTCAACATTTTTCTTTCTTACCTTGTAACAACTTTTCTCAGTTTTTGGTAAATTTTTACTTTCATTCGCACATGTACAGTGTCCAGTCACAGATGCACTGCTTTCATTTGAGGGTCAAACTGCAGTGTTTTTTGCTGCAGATCACATTAAAACTGGCAAATCGATTATTTTCAAGAAAATTTCAAACCCAATTACAAAACGTCAAATTATGGGGGGAAAACGGGGGACATTCGAGACATTCACCCCTAGGCTATAACCCCCCACATTTTTTTTTAACCTCTGAGGGGCATACCCCCTTTCCCCCCCCCCCCCCCCCCCCCTCCCTCTCTCCCCCTCTCTCTCTCTCTCTCTCTCTCTCTCTCTCTCCCCCCCTCCCTTACCTCTGAGGGCATTATAATTGGTCCAAAGTGCGTACATTACTACTCTACGCAGTTAGAATCAAATGAAAACCATCAAATATTTCTACTCCCATTAATTTGGGATAAAAGTCAGTGTATGAAATTTGTGTAAAATGGGTAAAAATGTAAAGGGCAAAACCTGAGCATGAGATGGGCCAGTGAAAGTTAAAGAACCGTATTTTCCAGGAAAAATTTCATTTGATTAATTACTTTGAGCAGTGTGACTGGTGAGAGCTGTCATATTTTATTGGTTGATAGGCTAGTTATTTATTGTTTAGAAAATACAACAAGAAATAAAAGCGCTTTTTACCATATATATACCCACTTATTTGGTCATTAAATACTCTACTTTTCTACAGCATTGGATTTTCCACTTGGATATTTTGTGATTTATTAGAGACTTCACCTTCCGATTTTGGTTTCAATTTAAGAGAAGGTTACGATTCAGAAATCGGGAGGATTTAAGTTGGGTTATGGAGAGGGTTAAATTTGAAGGAGTAGGCACTCCAAGTCCTTGTCCCAGGAACTGGACCGAAGGAAAAGTGATGTCTTTTACTTGACCTTACTGAATTATTGACACCAGTGCATGTGGTAAAGCAGTTAGGCACCTCACCATCACACATAGAAGACCTGAGTTAGATTCCCATGTGGGGAGAATCTTTATGGAGTAGGTTATCCCTGTCTTGTATACCCTCTCAGCTCAGGCTGGCCCTGACAGGCAGGGTCAAATCTCACCTGACCTTCTCAATTATCTCTAAAAATATGTGTCACGACACTATGGAATCAGGTGCTCGTCAATTTTATCATCTAAAGCCTGTTTATTTTTCTGGCTTTCGAAGAAAACATTATCCATTTATCTTGAATAGAAGTCTAGATATTATTTGCGACTGAAGGAGGTTGGGTCGCCTGGTTTTAGAGGTAAAATTAGCAAAAAAATAGCTGCCAAAGTTTGGTAACTTCCAAAGTTTAAGAGTCCTTGAAAACTGCAAATGTACATTTTTTGTGTGCTTTTAATCAATGTTTTTTTCATAAAATCCACATACAAAAGTGTTTTTGAATATTCTCGGATTTCATTATTTTGATGAGCACCTGATTTCACCATGATGCCTCACATATTGTTTTGATGGGGACGTAAAACTCTTTTTAAAAAGACCGAAAAAGAAATTATGGACATGAGATAGGCAAATGTCACTACAATAGTATTGCAGGTAAGCCTAAGAATGAGATAATTTTTTAACAAGATTTTAATTAAGGTTACCATTTTTTTTCCAGAATTGATCTCCCTTTACTTGTTGAGGGTATCCCAAAATTACCCTTTATAATATTTGTTTTTGAAAGAGCTTTACTCAGAGTGCCTTTTTTAAATAAATTAATATCATTTGTGAGGTATCGTAGTGAAATCAGGAGCTCGTCAAAATAATGAAATCCGAGAAATCTGCATTTTTCAGCCAGTTTGGGAATTTGTTTCAATTTTTTATATTTTTTTTTGCTCTGCAACTTGTATGTCCTTTCAAAAAAGTTTTATTTGTAGATGTTAGGGAAAAAATTGGTTGAAGAAAAAAAAAGGTGTAAATTTTAGTTTCCAAGGACTCTTCATGGCATGGAAGTCATCAAACTTTGGCGGCCCTATTTGCTCAGTAATTTTACTTCTGAAACCAGGCAACCCCGCCTCCTTCAATCGCAAATATCTCGACTTCTATTTAATATTAGATTTATTTTTTTTCATTGAAAGCAAGGCAAATGAACAACCTTTCAATAACTCCATTTGCCCAAAAATTGACCAGGGCCTGTTATGACACATTTTGTTCTTTATGCTAATATTGAGAGCCTTGTCTGCTAACCAAAAGTCCCCCTCATTCCCAAATGAACAAACAATCTAGTGGTAGAGGCATTTTTCAGTTAAATTTGTTCTGCTATATAATTGGCAGGTGAAAATGAGAAAATGAAAGGGTTCTTTTTTCCTACAGTTTGGATCACTGTCACTGTCATTCAGTCTAGCAAATGTAGATGTTCGTCTGAAGAATTGAAATGCTCATCATCACTATCTGTATGACAGTCAATTTCTGTAATACCCCAATCAGTGATCAACTTTTGCCATGGTGGCGAGTGCAGTATGTACATAAGAAATGCTGAGAAGTAATTGACTCGCTGGTTTTATCTTTCACTCACTATAAACTACACATCTCTCTTTGTTCTAGATGCTAGCACATGCGACTCCTGCTCATATCAGCCTAAAAATAGACATGATCACTTCGGCAAGAGAACAAAAGTGTGTTGAAGTGAAGATGTATCAAGAATGAAACAAAACACAGCTGTTCAATGACTTACCAAGTATGCCCACAGCATAAATGGCAGATAATTATTCTAGGGCATACCCATACTCCCGCACTGCAGGGAAGGGATTAAAGACATTAATACTGTATTTTGTGACTAATGCAAAAAAGTTAGATGAAAGAACCTTGTGACACTACTGGAAATGTTACAGGGGTACTTTTTTATATAAAGAATCTACTACTACTACTTCATTTATCTGTGAAAAAGATGGGGGGGAAATTAACTTCTTTTTTTTTCAATCTAAAAAGTCTAAAGATAGTACATGATAAAAAAAATTTTGAATAGTATTTTCTTTAAAATTCTAGCTATTTTCTGTAACTTTCCAAAACAAAGAAACACATTCATAGATTTTTAATGAGAGAATATACTTCCACAGCTTGGATCAGCATGTAGACAAGGTGCCTTGGATAACCAAAGTGAAAGCCTTTTCAAAACCAAACATGGCAGAAAAGGCTGTGAACGGATTTGCAGATGACTCATCTTCAGATAAGTCCCTCAAAAAGCATGCAACAGGTGATGGTGCCACTGTGAATGGCATTGAGAAAGTCAGGAATGGCAGCCCAGACTCTTTTTGCGATATTCGCCCTTGTAAGTAAAGGTTTAACTCATTTTTCATTACTGTTATTACCCTGCTAAAGGTTTATCTTTACCTTTTAAAAATCTGATAAACATTGTTAAGTGATTAAATCTTTCTTTGATGTTTGCAGTAGTATAAAAAAGTGTTTGCCCTGCTCCAGCCAAGGGCTAATCTGGAGACAAGATTTATGCATGGTTGTTCTAATTTCCAGAACTGAGAAGATTATATCTTTTGTGTCCGTGATAAGACTGGAGTTTTATTTTACAAGACAGTAATTCCAGTTTCTTTATTGTTCAGGAGAGAAAAAAACGCCCCCTTGCCTCTCAACAGCCAGTTGCTTTGAAGATATTCAAAACCACTGTCGTGCCTTATTTATTAAGTCAATACCAGACTAGGGCAGAAATGTACACCATGTTTTAACCCTATCCGTACGCCCTGGGGTCATATTGTACCCCCGGAGTTGTATTCTTCACATTTTAGAATACTTCTAGAACGAAGATCTCTTTGAAACTTTCAGTATTTCTCAAAAGATCATTTTGACAGATTACTATGCAAAGCATACGGATTGGATTAACGAGTAAATTTCCTCTTTGGAAAGTGGTGGCACAGAGTTTCCCACGTCATATGGATACAATTGTAAACACAATGTACGGATATAGGGTTAGCTATCAGGTGGAATCTAGAACTCAGTTTTGTCCAAAACTGATACTATTTACTGTCTTTTAAATTAGAACTTCAGTATGGTTCTCTCTTATGACTTTCACTGTTTACTTACTTCAATTTCAAATGCCTTGCATATTGTGCAGGGCTTTGTTTTTTTAAACTTTTATACACCATGTAAAATGTAATGTTTTGAATAGATGTTATTATTCTCATAGTGAAAAGTAGAGTACCTATTTTATTTTCTTAAAATGCAATATAACATGTGTCACACATGACAAATGATCATTACCAGTGGTCGTCTACAAGAGGGGTGCCTCATAAAGAATGTCAATAAAAGTAAACAGGCCTTAATCTGATCCTGGTGAAACTAGATAGGCCCTACAATGGAATAGATCAGAATGTTCCTGAAACGTGAGTCATCGTGGTGAAATCTGGTGCTCATCAAAATAATGAAATCAAAGAAAACAGCCCTTTTCCACCAGTTGGGCAATTTTTGTTGATTTTGGGTTCAACACAATTATGTTATAATGTTATGTGTAATTATAATTTTTTCTCCATTTAAAAACACGTTTGAGTGTATTTTACACTGAAAAAACATTCAAAATGCACAAAAATGAAAATCTGCAGTTCTCAAGAGCTCTCAACTCAAGCTTTGGAAGTCACCAAATTTTGACAGTCACTTTCCCACTAATTTGACCTCTTCTATTTGGCGATCCTACCTCCTTTAAACTCAAATAACTTGACTTCTATTTAAGATAAATGTGGGTATTTTTGTCATAAGACAAATGAGCAAGCTTCAAAATGATATTAAAAACTATATATATATATGCTTGAAAATTGACAAGCGCCTGATTCCACTGCGTTGGGACTTTACTTGCTGCTCTGGATTGCTCAGAATCACAGAAGTGGTATTAAATTCATTCTGACAGTCTTTTGAAAGGCACAATTTCACCAACTTATTCATGCACATATTGTGTCATTGAATATATATGGACGTTAAATAGGGGATCCCGTGTTATAAATCTGGACATGTGTTGAGGGGGGTACGTCGAGGAGGGGTGGGGGGGGGGGTTCATATCTTTTTGTTTACAATAAAGTTATTGATCGTTGGTCACACCCTGTTGTAATTGTTTGTAACACCACTAAAAAGGTGTTTTACCTAGTCTTACTGACCACACTATGTCAGCTGTCTTGTACAATAAGGAAAAATGTTGTGTCCCGAGGAGCTGTGCCACTCAGGTAATACTACACCTGAATGTTTTTTGTCAAAATAATTACTAAACAAGGCAAGTTCTAGATGCTTACTCAGTTATCGTCATGTGACGCAAGAGGAAAGAGATTTTTTTCTCTTGAAACTCACTGGAGATGCAGTAATGCTTGTTTTATTTTTTATGTAAAGTTCTAGTTGGGGTGTCCATTCAGAACTGACTTGTCCTACTGCGCACATCTGAGGTTTCCACTATCTGTTTGGCCAACATTGAGGTCGCCATGACGTCATACCTCTTAAGATGATTTTGACTGATTTTAAGAATGAGAGATCTCAAATAGACCTTTGTCTTTCTTATTTCTATATATGGGCAGATAAAATTTGAGAATGTCATGTTCATAACTTTGAAAGAAAACGTGTGATTTTGTTCCCTCTCTGATTCGGCTATATTTCCCTTGCCTATACACCCAGTCATTTCAGGGAAAGGAGTTTTCTTTCCAGTCTGTTGTGACTGTTTGAACTCACATTGCAGACATGATTTTTTCTCCTTTCACGATGACTGTTCGAACTGTAGATCTAGTACACATTCATGTACTGAAATTAGGTCATATTTTTCAGAAAAATATTGATAACACAGTCTGTTGAGAATGAGGCCTTAAAAATTCTCCCACTTAGATCTAATCATAATATGCTATCATCACTGGCTAAAAATATTGTCTCCAAACTCATGCAATACATTGTGTTTTCATTTTGTTTTTGAAAAGTTGTGATAAGTACTAACAATGAGGGTGCCCTAGATATCTAATCTAACAATTTTTGTTTTACCTTTGTTCACAATATAGATATGCCGACTTTTGGTCTCTTTAAAGTTCTTCCTTCACTAGAGTGTAGTGTATGTTCTCGACACTTTTCACTTTTTCTGTTTGCCTTTCAGTGTTTGTTTATTTTTAATCTATTCTTTCCTATTAGTCTTTTGTTTTTATAGGTGTCTTACTTTTTCCTGTCTCCCTATTATAATGCGTTGTAATGCTTCTGTGCTTTTTTTTTTTTGCTGAGACTCAACCTCTTTTTTTCTCGGCTTAGTGCCCACAGAACCGCTTTTTTTCTTTCTTGTCTATCTATCTAACTTCCTATCTATCTCTCTCTCACACTCTCTCCGCTGCCCACATCTCCTCTCTTTCTCCCTGTTTCCTTCTCTCTCTCTTTCACTCTGTCTGTCTCTCAAACTCTCTCA